TGACCGTTCTGGGGTTCTGTGATTAAAGCATCAACTGTGTCAGAATATGCAGCAGAGAGAAAGCAAAGCTATTGCCTGCATCCCCTGAGGCTAGGATGAGATGTAAAGGGAAAGTGAGATTAGACGCAGGAATAACTCTCTTGAAGTCTAGGGTAGAGCTGGAATGGGCTGCTGAGGGGAGGGGTGGAGTGGTTAGTTGTTTTAAATGCTTGTCAGACATCTCCGGAGAATAGTTTGGGTATAGACTTGAGCCAGTTCCAGGGTGGCAAAGTGGTGTTAAGGGTGTGTGTCCCCAGCCTTGTCCTTGTAATCCTGTGGGAAGGGGTGGGAAACACACACATACCCTACACTCACCTGGCATTAAAACAATTGTCATGTCCAGCTTCTGAAGCATCTCACCGGGGACTGACTGTTGATCACGCATGTGGCAAAGTGCTTTGGAAAATGTCCCTGCACATCCCCTGCCAAGCTTCAACGATGTGGCTGCCTTGCTGGGATGGGAGTTAGTACTGTGGCACAACCGGGGTCTTAACAGTGCCTTTAGTAGGCATGGAGGTGTTGGGTGGATGGTTGGGCTTGATGATCTTAGAGGGCTTTTCCAACCTATGATTCTATGATTTAATAGTAAGCAGGGGTGATGGAAGCAGATTCTTGTTACTGCTGTAATTGCTTATGTGAAATTATTCTGTTTTGGTGCCTCAGAATCAATGTATGGGATAATTTTGCCTGGTTCTGCTGTGAAAAGCAGAAGAATCAATGGAATTGTTTTTTCTTTGCAAGCTAACAGCCCTGTCCAACTCATGCTGCTGGAATGAAAGGTCATTAACATATCAAGTACTACTACGTTACTGAATGCTTCTGTCAGTCATAGAAAACAGCAGTTTTTCTTCTGCCGTGGGGATGGTGCTAAATGCACTGTACTGAGCCTGTTTCTTTCCCTGCAGGATTATTTCCACCAGCTCACCTGCATCACCGAAAGGGAAAAGTTTATAGTGCCGATCCGAGCTATAGGTGCCCGAGCTATCCTGGACTTCCCCGACCAGCTGAACTTCTCCGTCTGTCCGGTCAAGTACAGCACCCAGAAAACTCTGCTGGTCCGCAACATCGGTAATCGGGAGGCCCGCTTCTGCATCAGCACTCAGAGGTAAAGCAGCCCAACATCTCGCTTGTGCGAAACGCTGTTGTGTGATCATGTAGGTGGTAAACAGTACCAAAAAGGAGCCGGAGCATCTGAGCTGCTGTGTTGCAGCCATAGCTGGAGGCGGGCAGGACATGGGGGATTTGCAGTTGCTTACAGTGTTTTAAGCATGGTGGAACCTTTGATAAAACTCCACAAGCTGCGGCAGAGCTTTATGCTGCATTGATGCGTCTCCAGCACAGCATCTAGCAAGACTGATTCTGTCAGACTGAAAGCAAAAAAAATCTCAGAAGGCAACTTGACTGCCCTTGGGCTGCGTAGAGTACTGCAGGGTGGATGACAGCTCCAGCAGCTCAGTTCGTGTAAACCGAATACGGTGTTGGGAAATGGCCAGCTATGATCTGGTGAAAGAGATGTTTAAGGATTTATCAGCAGCTGTGGCTCTATTACAGCTGCAATTGGAGATTGTAGATCAAAGCAATTGGTATTGAGGCCCTGACAGTAATGCTGTGTGGTCCAGGAACTTTGTTTTCCAGGAGGTTTGGTCTGGTCCCTAGAACCATTCTTTAGCAGAATGAGCTCTGAAGTGGAGATGAGCAGGCACTGGCTTCGACGCTGTACTGTGGCCCCAAACCGGAATGCTAGTGAGGGCACAGGCAAAAGGTGCAGCAAATATGTGGTGCATGAGTGGGGGGATTTTTTTCTTCTAGAGCTTTATCTCTTCCGAATTTCCCGGAGAGTGCTAGAATGTGTTAGTAGTTAGCTTGCAACATCCCGATTGTAAGTGCTGTCTGAAATGGTTATGGACTGCTACCGGCTGAATACCGCCGTTCCCCGGGGGGCCACAAGCGCATGGGATTCTGGTGCTCCCCGAAGCAATTGCCTGATGTGACTTGTGTTGTGGACAGCCTGTGCTTCTCCTTTTGGTCTCAGAAGATGCTCACTCATTTTCCAGTTTGCTGAACTGGAGAGGGTAATGCCTTTTCGACACCGCATCGGCAAGGAAACCGGTTCAGTTGGCGAGTGGTTGGTTGCGAGCTGCTTGGTCTCAGGGTAGGAGCTGAGGTCAGGAGTGCAGCAGAGACCTGCTGTCTGACTCAGTGCACCTGAGTTGCCTCGATTTCTTCCCCGGAAAAACAGGGCTCAAAAGGTGACTTTTTACTTTTCTCCTGTGAAATGTGAGGGTCCAAGAGGAGCTCCCACCAAAGCCTGGCAAGGCTATTTAAGCAGGCTGCTGCTTTTCACTGCGGAAAACATGTAGGTGGGAATTTGTAAATCACTGCACAGTTTACCTCTGGGATTTCCAGATCGAGCTGTCACCGCTGAAATAAATACCTAGTAAATGTCTAGCGTCTTTTTGCAACTCGCTTAGCAGCTACGTTGAATCTCATTTGATAGAGATTTGAAGTTTCTGAACTTCATCAATCAAATATTTGTTCTGATTTTCAATAAAGAAATGGGAAGCATTACAAAAGCTTTATTTCAAACTACAGAAAAAAATTAGAGTTCTGAATAAATGTATTGCGTGTGTACGGAGATCAAAAGCTGAGATGATTCCCTTTGTCAGCGGAGGGCATCTGTCATCTCTTCCATTTCATGATGAACTTTTGAAAGCCAGTTTGGAATTTCAAACAGATTATTTAAATCTTTGAATATAAGCAGCATTTTATTCTAATGAAGTCACCCCCGCTTTCATTCAGGTTTCTTTTTCAATAGTCTGAAGCTTCTGTGTTTCTGCTGTCTCTTTTTTGCTTTATGCGTTCAGCGAAATGTCCTAATGAATTCTTCACTGGAAACTTTGCTGAAGGTTGAGTTCCACTAATGCCTGTCTATCTGCCACCTGCCTGTACATCTGTGCAAGGATGTACAGGAACAATGAGAAATGTGGGGAATGTGAAATGGAATTGGGCTGGTCTAGAAGATAAAATCATCGAATAGCTTTGTTCGGAAGGGACTTCTGGAGATCATCTGAGCAAACACCCTGCTCAAAGGAAGACAAGTGTCAAAATTTAATCAGGTTTGCATTTTCTGTCCCTGAACTGCATGATGTTCACAGCAGCCTGTTTCTCCAGCCTGTGGTGGTCCCTCTGAAGAGCAGCCCAGCCCTCCAGTGTGTCGACTGCTCCCCTCTGATTGTATTCTCCACTCAAAATCTGAGTGTTTCCTTCTGTTGACCAGGTGAGGATGACCCTTTCCATCCCAAGACATGAACAACCACATTCTCCCTATGCGCCGAGGCCCCGGTGTGCTGGGAGGGGTTATTGCAGCCAGGGCTGGGGACCATACTGTCAGACATGGCATCACTGTATCAACTCTTCCTGCCAAGTGTCTCTGGACCCTCTACCATATCTGGAACCTTCATGTTAACGACCGAGTCTCTTGCTGGCAGCGATCCATGGTTGGTTCCTTGCTGCTTGTGTTCTGAAAACCTGCTCAGATACCTTCTGCTGAGGTCCTTGGTGAGCACTGCAGCTCTAGCAACCCCAGCAGAAAAGAACTGGCCTCCAAGTTGTCTTGAGAATCTGACCAATACACTGCTCCACAGGCTAATAGATCATTAGCTGGCAATTGTCTTGAACAAATATACTTACAGAGGCTTTCACAAGAGAGGCTGTTTTCCTGCTCATGTTAGGGGATTAATTTCCCTGTTGTGAAGGCTATAACGAAGGCTGCATCGCTATTAACAACAGAGGTAGTGAAGATTTAATGTCACTAATTCTTTTGAATGACTTCTGTGATAATTCGATGATTAATTATTATAACAGAACACTTACAAGTATGCTTTGGAAATGAATGACTTATGGTCCCTGTCCTGGAGAGCTTAAAATGTAAATATGAAGTGCGGTAATCAGGAGTGATTGCGTAGGTGCTACGGGAAAGGAGTGCCAGCCTTGCCAGCTGAAATGCAGGACGGTTTCAGTCTGTTACTTAGTTGAGAATTTAAGCAGCTTAAGTTGAATGTGTGCTGAACTTTGGCTGGGTGAGGATGCGGTGTTGTGTTGAAGCCAGCCTTGGTATCACAGAATAGCTTTGTGTTACGTACAAGCACACATACGTGTGTGAGAGAGGGCGGAGGATTAGTGGAGTAGAAGGGAATGAGAGATCAGTCTGAGTTTATAGACCTATTTGCCCTCCTCTGTGTCTGTTATTCTCTACCTGCACAATTGAGTCTTCTCTCTTAGTTGCTGCGACTTTTGTTTTCTGGCCTGAGCAAATTCAGACTGGTGCCCATTTGCAAGCCAGCAGCTGGGCCACTTTCTAGTCCAGTGTGCTGCTCGTATCGCTTTTCTTTGCCTCCTTGGTCTGGATTCCCTTCCCTGCTTCCACCTTTGGTGCATTCTTCAGCCCATCTCCAGCGCTAACCTTTTTTCTCAGGCAGTACAAGAGCTCAGCTTTTACATCTGGTGACTTGGTGGTGACATTGCCTGCCTGTTACTCAGTTATCTGAGGACTTTTGATGTTTGCTGTTGCACATTTCACTCCAGGGAAGAGCTCGTAAGTAAATCCACAGGGCCAACTGAGCATCCTTCCCTGTTCAAAGATCTCCCTTGCTGTGGTATCTACCAGAAAACACAGCCACATTTTGACTGCTTTTTTCAAAAAGAAAAAAAAACCCCAGAGCCCTCCCCATTGTGCAACCTGGCACTGTACCTGTCTTCCCTCTGCGTGTCCATACCCAGCTCTTAACTGTGTAGCTTGGTAATAAAAAATAATAATAGTATAAATATAGAAAGTCGCTTCCTGTTGTTCTCATTGTTAAGATGGGATAATGAGTTTCTTCTCGGTGACATTCAGGGAGATAAATGTCATTCCAGTACATCTGAGTTGCAAATGGTGTCTGGAAGAGGATTATCGGTGTGACACTACCTTTTTCTGACATTAGACATTGTGCTGTGCCATGCTGCGGGGCTAGGGAGGAGCAGTTCGAGATCAGATCTGTTTAGGAATGTCCGCAATAAGCTCTGAAAGCTCAGGAGATTCTCCTGCAAGACAGAGTGCTTGGAGCCCCCTTGCATCCCTCCCTGTAGTGCCTGTAGACTACGTGGAGGCCTGGGATTCAAGAGCTACAGTAGGACACACAAAGAGCAGCCAGGGATATGAAAACAGAGCCTAGGTACAGGGAAAGGCAGAGCTGGGGGATGCTGAGTGCACGCAGGAGTTTTCAGCACGGGGATGGAGTCTTGGATGCTTTGACCTAACAGACTAGGTTTACTGGAATAGTTATACTGCTTGACTTTAGCTGCTATACCCCTACTACAAGTAATATATAGTGAGATTAAATGATCTTTGGGTTTTTCCTGCAGTAGGTCTTAGTGGACAGATGAGGCAATTCAATCGCCTGTAGATTTTACTGCCTGCCTTGGGGTTGGAGGTAGCTTTTAATGAAGCGGGCTTTCCCAAACGCCAGTGATTTTTGTCATGGACAGATGAGGCAATTCAATCGCCTGTGGATTTTACTGCCTGCCTTGGGGTTGGAGGTAGCTTTTAATGAAGCGGGCTTTCCCAAACGCCAGTGATTTTTGTCATACGAATTAAGGGACCAGCAGAAAGAAAATTTGGGTGTAGAAGGTCAGTGTGCCAGGGGACTTGAGGAAGGATATTGGAGCTTCCTTGCACACTGCTATTACTGAAGATATGGTTGCAGGAGAGAAGGGGACATGGTGGTTTGAGAGCCTGAGTCACAGAATTGCCAGCTTTGTTCGCTTGTCAGTTGTGTTGTTAAATTAGGACAGGAGTATTTGGCCCGTGGTATCCTCATTGGATGTGACCTTTGCCCAGCTTTATAAAGAAGGGGAGCTGATCCCTGGTGCCAGTAAGCAAAAGGTAAATGACAAAGTATGTCATTATGAAGTTGCTTATGAATTGGGTGTTGATCTCTTCGTAAAGAGCAATAACAGGCAAGATACCAGCGGGTACTGGTGTGAAGGCCTCTCTGAAACTGGTGTGGCTAGATGAGTTTATACAAGCTGGGGATTGCAAGGTACCATTGGGAGGTCTGGACCCGTGAACATTTAGATGTCATATAACAGTGAACATCCAGATACACATAGCTAAAAAGCATATTGGAAGAAAACAAGCTGTTAAAAAACCCCTCCAAACCTTATCTTTTCTGTCTTTCAGGAGCAGTAGTGATTCTTTAGAAGGGCAGATCTAACAGGACTAGAATTATCTTAAAGAACAGCTCGCAATTAATGGATAAAAGACCGAAGTTTAACCTGCCAGCTTCATCTCTTGGCAGTGCTTTTCATTTGGCTGTTAGCATGTTAGGGATGTCTCTGTAACATCTTTCCTTATCTGTAGGCTGCAGGGAACAGCTTAGTGATGCTGACTGAGGTTCGGAGGAGTTAAGTTTAACTGTGAAGCTTGCACCTTTGGGCCTTGGAGAGCCAGGTCTACATGAGGGATAATGAGCTCTTGCTACAGCAGTAACAGAGGTGTCTTGCGGGTATGGTGTGGGGTGGGATGTAGGAGGTGCAGTGTCTGATTTGTGCTCACTTTCTAAGTCCAGAGGACTGGGTCCTGAACCTGGTTGGATCCTCTTCTTCTGGTAATTGGAAAATACAAGATATCTTCTTTCTTGGGCATACCCTGAAGTCACCCCCTGGAGTGTTATTCCAGTCCCAGCCATCTGAGGGCAGGAGTACGTAGACATGGGGAAGGAGTAGGAAGATGGTGGTATGGGAGGTAGTGTTGAAGTGTTGCCAGGAGTCCCCTTCCTTAACTACCAGCTTTTCTGTTCTGGCAACATTTCTGGCAAAACCAAAAGGAAAATAATAATAATAAGAAAAAAAATTTTTTAAAAAATCTGTGCCTTTCCCATAGCTGGCCATGATCACACCCAAACACCAGCAGAGACCTCCAGCCATCCTGGCGTAACAGCAGTGCGGATGCAGGAGCGCATGGAACCGTCCAGTTCTGAGGCTGGCAGTGCCTTATCTTTCCTCCTCTCTCCCAGAGCTCTCCAGTCCAGCACATAAACATTGTTTGCGCAATGCTTCTCCATTCAGCAGCAATATTGTCCCTACTTGTAATGGGAACAGGTCAGGCCCTTAATTGCAGCAATATCTCCTTAATGAGCAGGACTCCAGCGATTTCATCAGCTGTTGCTACTTATGTGAACAAAGCTCAGCTTGTGCACGGCTCCAGTTGTTCTCATTATTTTTGTGTGTGCTTTGCATTCTCTAATGTTAAACTCTCCAGAACATGTGCTTAAGACGACAAACTGACCACCAGGAAAGCTCTAAAACCAGTAACTTTTTCTACGTGGGGCTGTACAGGAGCCACGAATCCCATCTGCCATCGCATGCAGAAGCACGTTTCATCTGACTGACCCCTAAGCGTGAAAGCACTGAGCTGTCAGCCAAACGCTGTTTACCTGGTGACAAATCGTAATTGCTCATATCAAAGCCAAAGTACACCAACGCATTTTTGTAATTATTTCCAACACATTGCGCAGACTTTGTCTGGTGGGCCAAGCAACCAGTTACTGAGCTTGGATTACGACTCAGAGTCCCAGATTGCGTTGCTTGTGAACACAGAGAAGACCTTCTGGCTAACTCTCCTTGATACGCTCCTGTGGGTAGTTAAGGCTTGGCGGTCTGAAGATGTCGCGCTGTACGGAAAGGTAGTGTCCCCCCCCTCTCCTAATAGCCAATAGCATTTAACCCGTGAAGTAAGCAGAAGGAAATGATGCTGTAAACCTAGGCTATATAACGCTGTGTTATTTATCAATAAACGCCATTTGCCGTCCACCACATTGGTGTCTGCGTGCTGATGACCCGAGC